CATCCAGCTTCTCATTGTATTTACTAATGGCAGATACCAGCAGAGGACCAGAGGTCCAGATAAGAGGAATATCATTGTGTTTATTCACTGCTTATCTCCTTACTAGATTACTGAAGGTTCAGGCTTGTCTACGTGCCTTTACCTAGGGTAGAATTCCTGCCAGGCATTATTTTCTGAGAAGTTCAATGAATTACAAGAAAGATAAATGCAAAGAGACCCCCAATGAGACACTTTTTTGGGGGGTAGAGATTGATCCCAGGGCCTCACACATGCTAAGCATGCACTCTACCACTGAGCTATATCCCCAGTCCCTTAGACATATTATAAACAAACTTTTGAAAGCCAAAAATAGTGAGAGAATCTTGAAAGCAGCAAGAGAGAAAAGTGACTCATCATTTACAAGGGATTGTCAATAAGATGAGCAGCAGACCTCTACTTAGAAACTTTGGAGACAGAAGGCAGTGATCCCATATATTTAAAGCACAAAAAGAAAACCAAAAAACCTGTCAACCAAAAGTCCTATATCCTGGGCTGGGATTGTGGCTCATCGGTAGATCGCACCCCTAGCATGGGCGGGACCCTGGTTCCATCCTCAGCACCACATAAAAATAAAGGTGTTGTGTTGTGTCCATCTATACCTAAAACATAAATATTTTTTTTAAAAAGTCCTATATCCTGCAGAATTTCACTTTAAAACTTAGGAGAAATTAAGACATTACTAGATAAACAAAAGGTGAAGGATAATGTTACCTTTTATCTGACCTGCTCAGGAGAGTTGGGCAGGGTAAACTGAATGGTTGTACAAATATGAAGAAATAAACATCTCCATAAAGGTAAATTTATAGGCAATTATACAATCTAATATCATTGGAAGAATGTTTTGTATCTGAGCTTTTTTAAAAAAAGTCTCTCAAAGCATATTTTAAAATATTAGTCTAACAGTAAGTACTACTGTAATTTTGATTTGTAACTTTATATTTTGATTCTACATAATTTAAGAAAGAAATACATTTAAAATAATTAATTTATGTTTTGGAGCATAAAATATATATAAAATGTACTTTTGTGACACTAACTCAAAGGGGTGGGGACAGAGTTGTAAAGAAATACTTTTATGGGGCTGGGGATGTGGCTCAAGAGGTAGCTCCTCTGGCATGCGTGCGATCTGGGTTCCATCCTCAGCACCACATACAAACAAAGATGTTGTGTCCGCAAATACTAAAAAATAAATATTAAAAAATTCTCTCTCTCTCCTTGTCTCTCACTCTCTTTAAAAAAAAAAAGAAAGAAATATTTTTGTTATTGAAGTTAAGCTGGTATAAAGTCAAGTTAGATTTTTAACATTTTAAGATGTCAAATGTAATACTCATAGTAACAACAAATAAAATATCTGTAGAATTTCAAAATGAAATGAGAAAAGGAATTTAAATATTTCACTACAAAAAATCATTTACACAGAAAAAAAGATTTTAAAAAAGATAACAGAAAATAAGGGACAAAAAGTGAAATCCTTGTACATGAAAAGAAAACAAATAGCAAAAGGACAGAAGTAAGTCCCTCCTTATCAATAATTACTTTCAATATAAATGTATCAAATTCCCCAAATCAAGACAAATGTATCAAATTCCCCAAATCAAGACAAATATTACAGTGGGCACACACCTGTAATCTCAGTGGTTCAGAGGCTGAGGCAGGGATATCAAAGTTCAAAGCCAGCCTTAACAACTTAATGAGGCCCTAAGCAACTCAATGAGACCCTGTCTCTAAATAAAATATAAAAAAGAGCTGGGGATGTGGCTCAGTGGCTAAGCACCACTGATTCAATTCCCCCCCCCCAAAAAAAGTGACAAATATTGGCAGAATGGATAAAAACATATGACTCACCTATATGCTGTCCATAGAGACACACTTTAGATCCAAAGATATAAATACATTAAGAGTGAAAGGATGAAAAACATTCCATGCAAATAATAATCAAAAGAATATGGGTGTGGGTGGGGCTATAGTTCAGTGGCAGAGTGCTTGC